CCTGAACCAGTAATTAGTTGGTTATATAATGGAGAAGAATTTACAATGAATGGATCACCACTGACAGGTAAAATTGAATATAATCATTCTAAGTAATGAAATATTATTAAAATTTAGATGGAATTCTATCATTAACTGAACCTAAAGAAGGTATTTATCAATGTATTGGTCGAAATCCATATGGTAGTGCTCAAGCAAATGCTGCTCTTGTTTATCTAAATCGTGATAAAGTTAAAGGTAAAAATTTCTTTTCTTTTCTTTTTTATTATTAAATTCAATTGCTTTCTTTTTTTTTTAGAAAAATTCGAAATTGAAATTCCATCGAAAAAATCTTTAATTGTCTTTGGCCCAAATAATATAACTGTCTATGAAGGTGAAACAGTTCAACTTCATTGTTTAACACAACCTGGTTCAACTGTTCAATGGTTACATAATAATGAAGTAATTAATTCAAATTTAATGCGTCGTTATGAAATGCTTTCATCCGGTGGTTTACGTATTGTATCAGCCCAAAAGTCAGATAGTGGTATATATAAATGTATTGCATCAAAGGTTGATTTTGGTATAGATGCAGCAAAATGTTTTGTTCATGTAATAGGTTTAAAATTAAATATTCCTGGTTCGTTCTTTTTCTTTTTGTTTTTTAATTAAAGAAAATGAATTTGTTTTTTTTTTTTTTGTTAAAATTAGTATCAAAATTAGAGATAATTGATATCAATCAAATCGATAATTATGGTATTAAATTATTCTGGAAAATTAATGAAACAATTGAAAATTATCTAAGTTTTATACAAATACAATATCGTTTAATTCATCCAAAAACATCATGGATGACAATAGATGAATTTTATAATCGTTCATTAAATTATGCTCTTATTAATAATTTACAACAAGATCAAATATATAAATTTCGTTTAATTGGTTTTGATATTACCGGTAAACAATTAGTTATTAGTGCAGCAAAGCAATTTACATTAAAATTAATTAAAAATCAACCAAATTCACCGTTACCACAAATAACTGATGCATGGGTAACAAATGATGGACAAATTTCATTAAAATGGCAGGTTAGTAATACTTGATTTTTTGCTTTTTTTGAGATGATTGAAAAGTCTTATATTTTGTTAGTTATTAAATAATACTGGCAGTGAAACAGTTGATGGTTTTGTTGTTTATTATCGACCAATACATTCAAAAACAAATTTTACAACAATAACAATACCAAATCTACGTTATCCTTCAGTTGATACATATACGATCTCATCAATTGAACCAGATCAAATTTATGAAATACGTATGACAACATATTCTAATCTTGGTTTGAGTCCAATGAGTAATTCAATTGAAATATCAGTTCCTAGTTGTAAGTTCTATTTGAAAAAGTTCTTTTTTTTTGTTTTATTTAATAGAATATTTATTATTAGTTTCAACTCATCATCGTTCTCGTATAAATACATCACCTAATCTTGATGAAATTCTGGAAAATATTACTAAAATTCAACATTCTTCTCCTATGAAACATAATCTAGTAACATCATCAACTTCGACACAAAAAGGTTCTGATATACTTTATTTAATTATTGGTATTATTGCTGGAATTTTATTAATTTTAATTATTATACTCGTTACTATGTGTATATTAAGATTATTTCAACAAAAAAAATTTATCGGTACGTTCTAATAAAACTTTCTAAAATAGTACAATCCTTGCACAATTAAAATTTGATACATGATGCAGTTGCTCTTACGAATCACAGGAAGATTGTTTTATCCGTTCTAGCTTAGAATATTCTTCATCCTTCAAAAATACAATAAGGAAATAGTTAATATATTGTAACTAGTGTCCGACTCGGGTCACGAAAAATTGATGCATGTCGAACACTGATTGTAACGAACCGTTATTGATCTACAGTCTGTAAGGAATGACTGGAGATTTCTATCGTATACTTCTATATTAGATCGTATTTCACAAAAAAACAAAAATCAATAAATAAATTATTTTTTTTGTTTTGTTCCTATTGTTTAGCTCACGTTAAATCTGTTAATGATTCTGAATATTATTGTGATGGTTTACATAAGAATTTAAATTCTGATTATGCTACAACACCTTGTTTTCAACATGGTGTAGTTGCTGTTGATGGTAAATTAATTCCTTTTACATGTCCAACTAATACAAAATCACCAAAAATTTATCATCATGGTTTATCACATAATTCAATAATAAATGAAAATGGTACAATACGTTTAAATATAAATCCAATTAATCGTTTAGATAATGAAAATATACAAGAAAATTTTTATCATACATTAACACCTTTTAATAGTCATAGTCAATATGAAGAATGTCGATCACCAACTTGTTCATACAAACAAACAAGTATGTGAAAAGAAAAAATTAAAAATTGAAGTTCTTAGTTGATAATTTCTTTCTATATAATTCTAGTTGAACGTCCATCTATCTCATCATGTCTAGTACATCATCGTTTAATTAATTGTTCATCAGATACACTTCCTTTAAAAATGTCTTCGAATAAGAATAATAAAAAATTTGATAATCGTAATCCTTCTCAAATAAATGGAGAATCTTTTACACATTTACATTATCATCATGGTACATGTCAACGACAATATACAACACAAGAAATTATTGCACCATTAGTTCACAAAGGTTTGTATCTTTGTTAAATTCAATTGTAAAAATTATATTGTTTTTTTTTTAATCTAGGAGTTAATCAACAACATAATTTATCTGATCAAAATTTTTCATCATCATTAACTAATGGTGGACATTATTGTACACATTCATCAAATGATTCAACTCGTCCATTACTTGATTCTACTCATCAACAACAGCAACATCAACATTCAGCACCACCTAGTACAGATTCATCATCACATTCATCTAGTGGTGTTAGTTCATCAATGGAATCTCCTTATAATCATTGGAAATATTTAACACCATTATCTGTAAAAATATCAAACGATAAAAATCAAGTTTCATCGACTATTATTGAACCAATACCATTATCTACTTCTTAATTTATAGCCATAATTCTATTTTTCTATATTTTTGGTTTCTTTTTTTTTGTGTGTAATCTCATTCTTGAACCTTTTTTCTTCAGTTTGTATGAAATGCATATTTGATATTGATATATACATATATAAAATTTTTCCGTTGCGTGTCTTATGAAAAGTTTTTTTTTTGTTTGTTTGCATAATAATATAATCAGAAATTTGGAATGAACTTTGAATATAATAAGTTTTGTAAGTTCTGTTCTTCAAATATGAACATGATAAGAGGCACCGAACATTTTTTGCAAACTAGATAACCTATCAAATGGTAAGAACAATTATACATGAGAATGTAGGTGTAAGTGTAGTATTGATATTCAGTTTGTATCGCCACATTCACATCCGAACAGACACATATAAGCAGACTTTTTCGACTTCCATTTAAATTTAAATTTGTTGACAAAGAAAGAAGTTCCAATAAGCTGAGAATCTATGGAAAAATCAAAATTGAAAAAGCAAATCAAGCTAAAAAACAAAAGCGCTTGAAGTGTTCTTATAACCTGGGAAGAAATTCCTAAATCCTACATTCTTTTGTTATGTCCGTTACATGGAAGTATCGTTGAGCAGTATTGAGCATGCTTTAGAGACACATAGAAATGGTTTCTAAGATGAGTAAATCATGTATTCTTTATGCGTCTATGAGATGGATAACGTTCATTGATTTCAGATCCGCTGGATCCTAGACTGAAAAATCATAGGATTTCATGTTAGGAAAACTGTTTGTAGAATGGTCACAAGCAAATTTCTGATGTATGTTCCTCCATTGAAGACAGAACAAGGTCAATGAGATGTGGATGACGACTTTGATTGGATTATAAGAATTTCAAGAAAGACTCAGCGTAATCATTGTAGGATAAAGACGTGGAACACTTGGAATCTGTTCTACTTGTAAACAAGAACCTTGACCATGTCGATCATACCGTCTGTAAGAATAAGATAGATTAACATATCATAATATCTGTCAAGGTCTGCAATACTAAAAATCTCAGTCAATTCTGTTTCTCTCAGTTTTCTGATCAGGTACTCCCAGAGGCACTAGTTGTCGTTTTTCATAGCAGAAAATTCTGTTCAGATCTGATGCGTTCCAATAGGATGTTTGAAAAATCGAAAATTTCATGGTCCTAAACCTCTGAAAACTACGCTGTTGTGATTCAAAAATTAATGCTTCTAAAGTGAACGATACGATGGTCTTAAATTACGAAAAACTAATGATGCATAGATCTAGAATGACATCTCAACTACGCTGTCATTGTCTTTGGGAAGCGAAACAAGACGATCTGATTGCAGCTTCTCGCTATGCACTTTACGACTGATGAACAATGACATTGCAAAAATATATAGAATTCCACAGTTAGAAGAATTTATAATCCTATAGTCAGAGATCATGACGGCGTTGTTCCAAAATCGATTACACTGTGGTGTAGAAATTCCTGTAGTCGCGTTCCAAAAATTCAACACTGAATGATCGTAAAAGTCACAACACCACAATCCGAAATCCTAAAAACCTACGGGTGAAATATTTGAGACTCCCTAATTCAAGAAATCATAATTATATAATCCAATAATCCTTAGTGCCACATCAACTCCTGTCACATTCTGTATAGGAAAGATGTCCAAGGTTTTTGCTATATACTTTATCACTCATTGCCAATCATGCTTCTCAAAAAATTCGAAACTGTGAAATCAATGGAAACGAAATTAAACCTACCATAGCACGAGGTAGACAGATACATAGACAACACAATGGATTTAATTTTCGATTCCAGATCCTAGCCTTTCAGTCTAGGAACTGTATCCGTAAACAGTTTTGAATTAGCCTGTTTATTATAATACAATTAACATGCCGATTCAAAGATTAGACGCGAAAATGACATGTGTAAATAAAAAAAAAAGTTCGTTTATCGAGTATTTTAAAATATGTTTTTATATTATATAGATTTGCAAAGTATCATAAATAATCCTACGAACAACCACATACATGGTATATTTGTTGTTGTCTTGTTATTCATATCATCTTGAACTCCATCTATTTGAGTACTAATGTATTGTGTTTGCTTTTGTTGTTTGTTATGTTTCTTCAATGCTTTCATTGTCTTAACAATTTCATCAGTTGTTCGATTACCATAATTCAATTCTTCACCAATAAAATGTCCATCACGATAAATTCTCAATGTTGGATAACCATCAATATTATATCTTCTCGAACATCGTGCTGCATTATCATCTGTACAATCTAGTTTAGCAATATATATAGGAGAATCAGTATTCTTTAATAATATGGTGCCAGCTCGTTCATATTCAGGATGGATTCGTCGACAGTATGAACACCATTTAACATAGAACAAAACTAATAATGCATCATATTGTTTAATTTTTGAACTGAAATTTTGATTTGTGAGTACGATAACATTACCGCTATCGGCCCAAGGCGAGGATGTGAAACAATAAATATTAGAACTGTTAAGAAGTAGAAAAAGTAGTACGATCAAGAATAATAAGTGGACTTTGTACATTCTAGCAAGAAAGACGAAGATAAATGCGTATTGAGTAGATTAATGTTTCTTTTTCTTCTCTTCAGATATTATATATATATATATTATCTCGCGAGGGAAAGAGATTTATCTATTATTGAAAGAGGAAGGAAAAAGAAATATCCATCATATGCAGAAGTTCGCACGTGTTCTTTGCACTAAAAATAATAGATATGTTATTAACACTTTATGTTTGGATGTAAGTAGTTGAAGAGAAGATCTACAGTCACATGTCATACTCATCTGAACTTAATAAGTAAAAATCATAAAAATAAAATTATGATATTATAGTTTTATAATATATTAGTATTTTGTTGTCATTTATATAGGTCAAAGGTTGCCTATTTCATTAATTGACAAGCACTTTTTCGAAAATTCATTGATGGAAATCTGAGCGGAGTCTTTCAAAATGATGAGACTTTATGTGTTTAGTTCAAAAATTTTCCTGCCATAACGCTTCTACCACATGAAGCAATTGGACACGTACGTTCAATAATCACTATTGATGTACAATCACTATCGAAATGTCAATGCTTGTACTATAAATCATAATGAAAGATATCATAAGAGATGGAACAAAGAGATCCAAAAAAACCGCATAATAATATTTATACATGTATTGATAAGTTCAAATATGAACAACTACTTGTAGTTGATAAAAGTCAAAGATATGAAGTAGATGCAGCATTACTAAAATCTTGAAGAGCCTTTCGCATCGCCAAAGAATTATCACATTATCGATAGGATAAATTAGAAAAACAACAGCTTGATACAGAAACATTTTTAAAAGGCGACTGGTCTTCGTTTTTTTAATATTTAAGAATGGAATAAAATATCAAATTAATTATTTATTATTACAGAATTTCATTTCGATTAGTTGTTTTTCAGATCGAGTTGTTCATTTCTCTCTTTAAATATTTTACAAAAAAATTATTATCGTGTATAAGGTCAAAGTCCTGTAACATACGTAAACTAATTTATATCCTTACAAAAAACAAAAAAACCTTGAATCTCTATGTATTATATAATACTATGTTACTCATATGAAGAATTTCATTATTTTATGTTGAATGAAAATCAATTAGTTCAATCGATAATTGATCATGAGTTTTTTTTAAAACTTTGCACGTAAACAAAGTGTTCCTTATAAATATTATTTACAGTTGTAAACCCAGCATTCGATATCCACCTATCCAAATAGTCTCTAGCCATTAAATATCTTATTGACTGTGTTCTGATAAGATAGAAACAATCAACAAAAAAAAACCTTGGTAGGATATTTGCTAAAACTGATTAATAAAGAAAAAAAAAAGAACTATTTTATTGTTGCTTTCATTTGCTCTTTTCTTATCTTATAATGTTTACAACAATGATTCAGTAAAACTTACCTTTAAATGAAGACAAATAATTTTATCAACAGCCACCTTTAACAAACGTTAAATCGATCTCAACAACAAATAGTAGGGTAGCATCTCAAAGACATGTTCGAGAAGTTTCTATTGTTAGTTATTCAAAGGCGAAGTTAAACGAAATTTACTTGAAGAAACAATTAGAAAGGTTTGGAAAAATAGTTCTTTTACCAAATATAAAATCAGAAATTGACCAAGTTATTTTGATAAAATGATATTTGTAAACTTTCGCTTTATTCCATAATTGATTTCTATGCAGGCTCCAAAGTTTGACATAGTAGAAATTTAATTGCTTTTCTATTGAATTTTCATTTACTCACTTATTCTAACTTACTTAGTGTTTTACATTTTTCTCAACAATAATCATTGTTGAACGGATCGTTACATCAATTTTTGAATTCAAACTTATCTTATATTATTTCTCAAACAAATACTATTCAAACGAACGTCATTTTATGTCAATGATACTATGGACTAACTTTTTTCTTTTTTTCGATTCCTTCATTATTTAATTTAAATTTTTCATTTTTTTCTCTCATGTTAAATAAATAATTGATGGGCATATTCTGTCTATATATGAATAAACAAAACAATCCGCTGTGAATTTTTCTTCTCAAAAACCCAAAAGAAAAATCAACTTTTCCAATCGTTTATGAAGACATCGTTTTCTAAGTATTCAACCATTATTCTCCTCTCTTATCAATTGAATGATTTATTTTTATGTATAGTTAAAATTTTTTGTGTTCTTTCTGTTTTCTATTAGCTTGTCAGACCGATTTATATGCGACACCGAGAAACTCTTCTTATTGAAACATAAACTATGCCACGAGGATGTTTTATTTACAATATATGTCCATTATTCAGGTATTTATTGCTTACTTTACCGGTGGACATGATCCTATTTGTTCTCAATAAGACATAGTTTCCCTGTATGTGCACGCATATCTCTTCAACTGAAAATAAAAGAACTTTACATTTGTATCTTCATTAGATTTATTTTTTTTGGGTACAACAAGATTAAATTTTCTTTTTTACAATTTCAATATTCCTCTGAGTAACTAGGACACCAACATGATCTTGAGGAAGAGTTTTTTGGATGATTTCCAGTGCTTTTTGATGAGATGAAAGTGCATTCAAATAATCCCTCATGTTATTATACACCAACCCAATGTTTCTGTAAGAAGCAGTCAAATTGGTATCCGTTGGTGAAAGAGTTTTCTTATTGATTTCAATGGATTGTTGATAATAGGCAATAGCATCTACATAATCACATTGGTCCTCCTTTACTCGTTCGAGCATATGGTAAATTGATGGTTTTTCACGATCAGTCGTTGCTTGATCAAGCAGGATATCATATGTCTGATGGACTATGTCGTACTGCCTAAGTTTAATTAGTAACATACCCAAACGATTTCATCCTTCGAGATGAGGGAAGATCTCTTTGCGCATGTGTTCAGTAAGTGCATGGAGGTCTGGATCGTTGTCGCTGATCAGTGTTAAATTAACTTGTCAGAGACGATTATTTCCATCGATTTGTTTCATTGGTCCAATACGAAAGACGGTATGCATGGAGAAGAGAACTTCTTCTTCTCCTTCGAAATAACTCATGTCATGGACGTTTGCAAAAGCAGTAGTTGATGTTGATGGGTTGATAGTTATTGCAAAGCGAACACCTATCAGATCGGGATCACTGATGTTACTCTCAGCAAAGGCAAGAGACACTTCTCGATCAACACTTGTCAACAAAAAGTTATTAAATGCTAGTAGTCCACCTTTGATTTTGACCATTTGTTCAAAGTGTCTTAGTGACAGTTCTTGATCACGATAAACTGTGAATAATCTTGCATATGCTTTTTCAGCGAACTGTTGAAGATGAAGATCGATGATGTTGTTGTGAAGATCTCGAACAAAAAATCCCATACTAATAATGAGATCTATTTCCATCATGCACAACGATCGATTGAGCATCGAATAAAGAAAAACATTGGTACGTTGACCACCATATCAGGACATGTTCATAGTGTTCTCATTCAAATTTGTCCGACAACTATCAGTGCTCTAGCATCATTCTCGAAAAGTTGATGACAGTACGAGATAAATTCATTGAAGGGTGCGTTGTTGGAAATTAATGATTAATAAGATTTTTTTAATATTGATGTGCATATAAATAATGGATCTAATTGATCTAGATTTTGTTTTTTGGTTTCTATCACTAGTGGGTACAAACTTGATAGTAACCAAATTTTGATAACATTTGAATGCAGCTTATTAAAGTACTTTAGAGATTGAGGCAATATCTGTAAATACACCATTTAGTTTTGACCATTGTTTGACCTAACCTTCATTTTGGGCTTGGTTCTTACTTAAAATATACATAGTATTAATTTATGGAATGTCATGCACGATAGGAATAGTTGTTTGTCCCGAAGGCATCAGAAAGGATGATAAATATTTTCTGTTCTTAAATATCGGTTGTAAAATCGAGGCACTTATTTATATCTATGATGAGATATATCTTGTTGACAGCTTCTTTTAATTTGTTGATAATATTGATACAATAGCAGTTATTCTTGTCATCAATATTGGCATCGAGTCATACCACTAGGAAGTTTTCAACCGTACGAGCATAAGGAGGCCGTTGTGCTCTTACGCTCGTATGTTAAAATGGTGTGACAGCAGCAGCAATTGCTGTTGTTGACTTTTTCTTTTTGTCCATGGTGTATATTGTATTTGGTCAATGAAAAATTGCGAATAAAATTACTTGAATTTATAGAATATGTTGTAATTTTTTTTCTAGATGTATCTATTCGTTTGTGATTGTTGTTATCATTCAAGTTCTTTTTCTTTTCGTTTCATTTAAGTGCTTCACTCCTTTTTTTATTGGTAGTCGTTTCGGATATCAAAAGAAAATGAATGTCTGCTCAATTAAAAATTTAGTATCATACGAAGTCCATGAAAGTATAGATAGAAGATTATTTTTGTTGCTAAGATTTGCTTTTTTTAAATGAAAAATTAATTAATAATAGCATTGAATACGAAAACTATTTTTTACATCTATATTGTCACACTATGCTCAAGGAAAAATTCAATGAAACTATCATGACTAATTTTGTTTTAAAAACGAGACATAACATTCATGATATTCTTTTATGGTTTCGTTATTATATTGTTGTAATCTATATTCAGTTTTAAAATTAGTTCGTTTTGAATATTTTCATTACAAGATATTATTTTAAGAATATATTATCACTCTATCCTTGAATATAAAAATTTAATTATGAACAATTTAGTGAATTTATTTTGTCAAGTTTACATAATATCATTGACATATAATTTGAATAACATATGAAAGTAGCACTGAAATGTTTTTATATTTTATTGAAAATATCAAGATTTTATAATCATTGACGAGATTCATGTTTATATCTGTATTATTTTTCACAAGTAATTATTCGAGAAGAGATAGGCATTATTCTAATTATTTATAATGTTTTTTCTTTCAATAGAATTACTTCGTTTTCAAAGTAACTCTACGGATAAGATTCAGAAAAAAATTAAAAATTGATGTAATTT